GAAAGCCTGTCCTTACATTTGCATCGTTTGGAGAAGCGTTGAGCTCAGTGGAAGTGTTGTGTACAAACCTAGAAGGAATAGCAGGAGTGACAAGTGCAGCCACTTTTGAGGGAAATGGAATACCTCAACAGAACACCTTGACCTTTCTGTCCTTCAAGCGCTATATACAGCTAGATTAAATTATCTATTTTGGCAAAATATGCATGGCTTGGGATATTTATGTCTGTCCCCAGAGTAGTGCTGATTTTCAAGCCACCTCAAGTTCATGACCATGAGCACGTGCAGGCACTTCCTCTTCCTTCAGGCTCTTCCTTCAGGTTCCCCGAGGCAGAGCCTCCCGTTACAGCGTCCTTCAGGTGAATTTGTTGGTGGTACAGCAGCAGGTTCCAGCTCAAGCTGAGTGCCTCCGGGAGGAACCCTGCGCAAAGGAATCCTGGGCAGTTACACCCTTGCGACCCAGGTTCCCCTCCCCTCTCTCAATGGGTTGGTCCAACACTAGTATTTGGGTCTGAGGTCTTTCTGTTCCTCATTGGATCCTTTTCCTGCCTCCAGGCGGCCATTCCTTTTCATATCTGATGGTTGCAGGTTCTGCTGATGGTTGTAGCTGCCTTATCTTTCTGGTTCGCACCAGTTTGGGGCCTTCCTTTGCTGAGTGAAAGTTGAGCATAAGTTCAGCATATCCCAGTGAAGGCTCCCAGCTTTCAGCCTAAGGCTTCGGCACGTCTGGTGCTAACGCTGAGCCATGGACTCCGTTTGAGCCAGACAGTGGCTACTGTGACCATACTCACCTGAACGTACAACAGAAAGTTGATTTTGTGTAAGAAAACACTGCCTGGGAACAGTGCCGATGCAGAATTAGGATGCAGGGCTCTCAAGGAAGCGTAGCTCATGTCTTCTTCCTCCTCCCATGTTTCTACTGACTTTCCTCTTTGTGCCTTCACGTCACCTCCTGTCACTATCCTTTCCTTCTTACACAAGTAAGGAGAGGAGAGCTGTGATGGGCAGACTCATACCTCATCCTGCAGTTCCGGCCACGGGCTGCTGACTTCAGCCCAGAGGATTAACGTTCTAATCATGTGCCTTCACCCAGGGTCCTGCCCCGGCTGCTGCCTTACCAGCACCTTGAGAGCAGAAGGTCCTTGGTAGTGTGGTGGAAGGCTGGAGGTGGGCAATTACCTGGCACTACTGTTACAAAGGTGGATGCTGATATCTTCTGTTTTCTTCCAGTCACCTGATGCAGCTGATGACCTCAGATACGTAGATGACCGAAACAACTCAGGTAAGCTCGTGGCCGAAGGCAGTGTCTTTATACCACTTGCTTCCCACCATGGTTCTAGAGGGTTCCCCTTTGCCTGCCTGTGCAATCAGCCCTGAGGACTTCAACTTTTTGCTGCTTGAAGCAATGTCCTGTTTTGTCCGTTCTAGAATGAGACCTCCAAGCTCACCGTGTCCAGTTTTGGGTAGGATATTTGCATTGTGTTTTAGTGATGGCCAGTTTGCTGACAGTGGTGTGTAACGAGCATGCGGAGTTTTCTGCTGGTTTTGTGTTTTGGAGTAAAGAGTGGTGGTGGAATGTGAGTGGGAAGTTTTGGGCTCTGTCACCTGCAGTAAGTGGGTAACGACCCTTCTGCTTCATGCAGGGTCTGCTTTGTGCCCCTTTTGCTACAGCCAGGCATCTCGTTGCCCGCAGCAGGCAGCTGCAGATAACTCGTCCGGGTTGGAGACTTGAGAGCGCCGGCGTGCTTGAGCACCCAGGGGGCTCCAAGCCTGTGCTAGTAGAGCTGTGTGCACTGTCACCTAAATAAACAGAAGCTAAAGCTGCGACTGCTGGGTGTCTCCAGGCTGTCCTGGCTGTGACAGTGCTGTCCCAGCTGTCACGGACAGGCTCAGACTGTCTCCCGCTTCGTTCCGGGGCTGTAGTGGTAGCGCAGAGCTCAGCATCCTCAGTAGTACTTCTGTTTCCTTCAACAGCCGTGCTGGGGTTTTTCTACCTGTTTTGCAGCTATTTTTGCCCCCCTTAATTTTACACAAGAAAGAGTTTCTCTCTCAATTTTATCATGGCAAACCTCTCTGAGTAAAGGCTCCACTCCAGACAGCTAATCCATGTGTGGGCCAATTCCAGAAGGAGGTTCTGCTGCAAAGATACTCAAGAAAAACTTACTTTCCTGAGAACAACATCTGTTCTCCCTCGGAGTAAAGCGCCCCACGCTGGGTCCTTACCTCGAGGTCGTCCGTTCAGTCCATGTATGTAAGTAGGAGGTCACCAGAGGGCCAGGAAATAATCAGCAATTGCATCGGGGCTTCAGACCTCACTGTCATCGGTCCATTGGGTCTTCAAACAGAGTAAAAGCCATAAAGAAAAGAGCATGGTGCTCTACTAAGAGATTTTTAACCCAGTCCTGAAGTAATCCTTAAGTCCCCACTGTGAGGTGAGATGTGATGTGAGTGAGGTACCAGAAACATGCAGGTGCTCCAAAATCAGTTTGGAAGGACAGCAGGTGAAGATGCAGCTAAGCTTTTCTGGTGTGGGACAAAGCTCTCAAGTGCTTTTTAGATTCCTCCCTCCCCCCAAACCTAATTCTCCCAGGCAATGTAGCATTTCAGCCAACATACAGATTTTTATTTTTATATAGATTTTTGGCAAGTTATAACATCTGTATGAGGAATTTTAAAAATCCTCCTTTTCTGCATCAGTTTCAGCCTCCTGCTAGACCTGCTTTTGTCTCTTTTCAGGTATCCTTTTCAGAACAGATGGAGAAAATATTTGGAATAGAGTATTTCTCTGGGAAAATATTTAAGAATTGGAGTGATTTTTACTTGGATTTTTCCTTACCATAAAGGAAACTGAAAGAAAACCAGTTACCAAAGATAAAGCAGTGTTTGCTGCACTAGTTCAAACCAACGCTCTGTGCCTCCATTCTCCTCCTGCTCCCAGCTTCGTTTGCAGCTCCCGGCGTTTCAGGCGCCGGTTTGACACATGCTGTCAGGCCGTTCACTCGTGTGGGTGTTTAAGGCAACTTTAAAGAGATCTAATTGCTACAGTTAGTGACACCTTTTCTCTGTACCCCTCTGCACACACTGGGATTTTAATCAGAATTCTCCATGATCATGGGATTTCAGCTTTTTGGTCATATGGTAAAATCATAAGCAATTCCTAAACTTTATGCTAGAAAAGCGTTATAAGAGAAACTCCAAGGATACCGTACTGCTGGCTGCAGGAAAGCATTAGCATCTCTCTCTTCTGGACGTCTCAAAGCACAAGCAATCTTCTTCCTCTCCATTGCAGATGGGCCTTAAGAAATAGTTCTTTCCATTCGGGTCTGGCTTCAGGGTCATCGTCTTTCAGATGTGTTTAAAAACCTTCATTCCAAGGTTTTCAAGAGGCCATGAAGTCTCTGAACTACATAATGGCATTTTTAGGGTGGAACCGTGCTGTGTGCTTGCTTTATGACATAACTTTTCCGGATCGCTTAGAGCCAGAGTCTTTTGCTTCCCGATTTTATAATCATCAGGTTTCAGAAATAGACCCTTGATAACTTTGTTTTGCACTTACTACTGGACACCTACTTATGGTATGTAAGAAACTACTTTTGTCCTCATGGCCTTTGTCCACTTGGGATGTCTAATGTCTACAGCAACTTACACAGGAAAGAGATCTTTTTATCCTACACTGGACTAATCACTGCTGTGTTATTACTTTTGTCCAGGACGCAGCTTGTATACACAGAGGAATGAAAGACGATCTCTCCGCCTTCTGGTGTTGTTAATTTATCCCCATCCAGCCTTTTTAGCCACATCTTCACGCCAAAGACTTGCCTTCACCTCTTCGTTCTCCAGACTTTCTCACCAAAACTTCATGAAGCCAGACTTTCTGGATTCGTACTAGTTGCAATGCCTGTGCTCTCGTCCAGTATTTTCTGATTCCTGTCATAAGATAGGAAGCATGTAAGGGAGGCTTGTACTGGTTCAGAATGTACCAGTATCCTGTTTGGCTAGAAGTGAGTTTTTAGACTCTAAGAAACAGAGAAGACGAGTTTGCATAGATGCATATTCTCAATTTTCTGTAATCACCTATTAAGTAGGGATGTCTTGAGCCAGGTGTTGTATCGTGTAGATCATCAATGCATTGATCCTCAGTTAAAAAGTCTGGGTTTTTTTATTTAATCTTTCATGATGCTTTGTGGCATTGAGTTCCATAGTTAGGCATTTTGTTTGTTTTCATTCTGTTTCTTGATAATTTCCTTGGGCCTTCTGGGATGCAGTGGATAACTGTCGTATTCACTGTTTCTGTACCATTCACGTAGGCCAGTATCATATCATAGATTTCATAGATTTCATAGATTTCTAGGTTGGAAAAGACCTTAGAGATCATCGAGTCCAACCATCCCTAATCCCCATTAAACCATATCCTCAAGTAGCTCATCCACCCTATTCTTAAACACATCCAGGGATGGAGACTCAACCACCTCCCTGGGCAGCCTATTCCAGTGGCTGACAACCCTTTCAGAGAAGAAATACTTCCTAACATCCAACCTGAATCTCCCCTGACTAAGCTTATGCCCATTTCCTCTTGTTCTATCACCCATCACTAATGTAAAGAGCCCTTCCCCTAACTCCCCACCATCTTTTCTCAAGTATTTATAGGCCGTAATCAGGTCTCCCCTCAGCCTCCTCTTCTCCAGGCTAAACAGCCCCAACTCCCTCAGCCGCTCCTCATAAGTTTTATTTTCCAGCCCCTTGACCAGTTTAGTTGCCCTTCTTGTCAAGGGGCTGGATATCAGTTATCTTCCAGGCTGAAGAATCCTAGTTCTTCTTTGTGGGAATTGTTCCCACACTCCTCTGGACCTTTTTCATCTATGCCATTTTTAAGGTAGAGAAGGAGAACAGGACTGCATGTAGTATTGCAACTGTAAGTAAAGGATGAGTCTATGCAGTGGCAGGTGCTCTGTATGTTCTGGTTTTTCTGGTATCTAATCCTGAAGAGTGAAATGATAATGCGAAGAATGTGCCAGTGTTTTCAGAAAGCTCCTCCTAATGACTACAGATTCATAATCTCATTTTAAGGATGTTGCATTTGTATGCAATCAGGATCAAATTACTTTTATTGAGCTTAAGCATCATCCAGTAGTGTAAAAATAAACTTACTAAGTCAGCACGAGGTTTTGGCCACTCTGATATTGTGTCTGATGCCAGCCACTGGGAATGCCAAGAAAAGAGCATAAAAGAAGAAAAGCATAAAATGATTCCTTCCAGAATTTCTACTCCAGGCTCCAACAACCTGTGTTTTAGCACCTTCTAAGCCAGAGGCCTTTAATTTTAGAGTTATTTCTTTCTTGACACTATTCACATTTGCAGTAAATTTCACCTTCCACATCACTCAGTCAGCTCTAAAATCCTAATACCCTTTTTTGTGGTTGAGTTTTATTTGACTACTCTGATACACAGCTTGGTGTCATCAGCAGCTTCTCTCAGTACAGTCTTCATTACTTCTGCTCCTCCGCATGAGTTACCAAATGCTGACCCTAATCCAGATAGCTGGTCTGTGTCGTGAGAGCAGGTCGTACCTTCCTGCGCTTTTTCTGTGTTTTAACTACTTACCTACTAAACGATGCGCCTTCTTATCCCGTGGCAGCTTGTTTTCCGTAAGAGCTTGGACTGAGGAACAATCAAAAGTCTTTTTAAAGGTTCGGTATGTTGTGTCGATCACTTAACGTGCATGTTTGGTGGCTCCTTTGGCAAATTCCAGTCTAAGAGTGTCTAAAAGGAATGACTTTCCTCTAAGCCACATTGATTTCCTCCCCATTGGATTTTAATCTGCATGTGCCCGTGCCTTTCTTTTACGCCTGTTTGCCTTGTCTGGAAGTCAGTCATCTGCTTCCCAATCCCAACATCCTTTCAAGATGTCACATTTGTCACCCACGTTCATTTGGTTCCGAGATTTCAAACAGGTTAATGCTGCAGGTGATAGTTCAGGAGGATTCTGAGTGGTAACTACTCACGCTTGGGTACCGCAACAAGGGAGATGCTGCGTCTCGAAGCCTGGCTCTAGAGCAGAGGGTGGGCCACTGGGTACAGCTCAGCAGACTGTGCACCTTTGGTCTGAAATACCTTCATAGATTCCTGTATTTGAGGTTCTCTGCTACGTTCAAAGACTTTAGAGAGGCTTCCCAGGAGCCAGTTTGCACTGGAAGGGAAAGATCTGTGGGTTTGCGGAACTTTTCCCTTTTTACACAAGTATCTGGCAGTAGTTGCTGAAGCTGAGTTACTGCAGAGGGCAGA